TCAGCAATCACAGCCTCACCATAAAAACCAAAATCATGATCTTCTGGGCCACTGAAATCCGAAGAAGAACTGGAATAGCAAAAGAGGCCTTAGAAAAGAAAGCAAAATACTATGTTGCAGGTAGAATTCCTTAACAACAAATGTACAGGATTTTACATATCTGGGAACGGTGAGGATTTTGACACTGACATCTGTAGAAGAATTGGAATAGCAAAAAATGCCTTAAAAAAGAAAGCAAACTGCTATGTTACAGGTAAAATTTCTTTAAAATGAAATAGTTTAAATACCTGGGATGTATGGCAATAGCGACACCGAAATCCGAAGAAGAATTTGAATAGCAAAAGATGCCCAGAAAAAGAAAGCAAAGTACTATATTACAGGAAAAATTCCTTAACAAGAAAATTACAAGATTTTAATTATCTGGGAAGGGTGTCGATTTTGACACTGAAATCCGAAGAAGAATTGGAATAGCAAAAGTCACCTTAAAAAAGAAAGCAATATACTATGTTGCAGGTAAAATACCTTAACGACAAATGTAAAGGAATTTACATATCTGGGAAATTTGCGATTGTGACACTGAAATCCGAAGAAGAATTGGAATAGCAAAAGATGCTTTAAAAACGAAAGCAAAGTACTATGTTACAGGAAAAATTCCTTAAAAGAAAATGTACAAACGTTTAAATATCTTTGAAGGGTGGCGATTGTGACACCGAAGTCCGAAGTAGCATTGGAATAGCAAAAAATGCCTTTAAAGAAAGCAACGTACTATGTTACAGTTCAAATTCCTTAAAACAAAAGTACAAGAGTTTAAATATCTGGGAATCGTTGCGATTTTTACACTGAAATCCGAAGAAGAAATGGAATAGCAAAAGATGCCTTAAAAAAGAAATCAAAGTACTATGTTGCAGGCAAAATTCCTTAAAAATAAAGTACAGGTGTTTAAATAGTTGGGAAATGTGGCGATTGTGACAATGAAATACGAAGAATTTGAATAGCAAAAGATGCCTTATAAAAGAAAGCGACGTACTATGTTGCAGGTAGAATTCCTTAAAAACAAAAGTACAGGAGTTTAAATATATGGGAAGGATGGCGATTGTGACACTGAAATCCGAAGAAGAATTGGAGTAGCAAAAGATGCCTTAAAAAAGGAAGAAAACTACTATGTTGCAGGTAAAATTCCTAAAAAAGAAAGTACAGGTGTTTCAATAACTGGAAAGGGTGTTGATTGTGACACCGAAGACGCATTGGTATAGCAAAAATACTTTATAAAAGAAAGTACTATTACTATGTTTAAGGTAAAATTCTTTAACATTAAAAGTACAGTAGTTTAAATATTTGGGAAGAGTGGCGATTGTGACACTGAAATCCGAAGAAGAAATGGAATAGCAAAAGCTGCTTTAAAAAAGAATGCCAAGTACTATGTATCAGGTAAAATTCCTTGGCAACAAACGTTCAGGAGTTTACATGTATGGGAAGTGTGGCGATTCTGGCACTGAAATGCGAAGAAGAATTGGAATAGGAAAAGATTCCTTAAAAACAAAGCAAAATGCTATGTTTCAGGAAAAATTCCGTAAAATCGAATGTAAAGGAATTTTAATATCTGGGAAGGATGTCGATTGTGACACCGAAATCCGAAGAAGCATAGGACTAGCAAAAAATGCCTTAAAATAGAAAGTAACGCACTATGTTACAGGTAGAATTCCTTAACAGCAAATGTATATGAGTTTAAATATCTGGGAAGGATGGCGATTGTGACACCGAAATCCGAAGATGTATTTTAATAGCAAAAGATGCTTTAAAAAAGGAAACAAAGTATTATGTTCCATGTAAAATTCCTTAACAACAAAAGTACATGTGTTTAAATATCTTTGAAGGGTGGCATTTGTGACACCGAAATCCGAAGTAGATTTTGGAATAGCAAAAGTTTCCTTAAAAAAGAAAGCAAATTACTACGTTACAGGAAAACTTCCTTAAATACAAAACAAAGAAAAGATTGCTGAACTGCTATGTAACACCAATCCTCATATATGGCAAAGAATGTTTGGCAGTTTCTCTGCAGATGTTCAGATGACTGAAACCAACACTAATGTACTCCTACAGAAAGATTATGAGGATACCATTGTCTTTAATTAGAGAACGTTTTTAGACGTTTTTATTTCCTTTACAATATGCCTAATGTGTTTAGTTGGGTTAAGAATTAAAATGTCAAATTCTAGATCACTTGCATCCTCCTGGTATTCAATGAAATGATCGATGAATTTGGTAATTGTAATAAAAGCCAGTCAGCAAAAGAAAAAGCCCAAAACTAGAACTATATGTCGGAGATGTCAATACCAAACCAGTACAGAAGTTTAAATATCTGAGAAGTGTTTTAACAGAAGATGGAAAATATGACCCCGAAATCCGAAAGCCTAGCAAAAGATGCAGTCCGAAAGCTAAACGTGCTAAAAAGAAACCGGAAAATTTCCTTAGAAACAAAGGAAAGTTTTGTGAGGGAAAATATATCCCTACAAGTTTGGACTGGGCCGTCGGACAGAAGACATGAAAATACTCCTACATCAAGAGGAGTATCAGGAGGAGCAGTAGCTTTTGCTGAAAACAGTTAGTCATTCACGGTTAAACATCTTCTCCCCTATCTGTCTATTTTTCTGAGATGAGGTATTATGTGCATTATTTACATTATTCGGACTATTATCCTCGTCTTTGTCGCCAAGGATACATGGCACAGTGGATAGAATTTAGATCCAGTGACAAGACCCAAAGTGTGTGAGTTCAATACCCGGTTAAGGCAGTGGAGAACTTTCAGAGAGGAGATAACGGATAACTGTCATCTATTAGACATGGCACGTGGAACTAGAACAGTCTACCCCAGTGAGCGAAATAAAGGGTTCAGTTTGACATTCCAACCAACTAAAGAAAGCCGGAGCGTACAACGACCGAAACGTTGTAATAAATATGCGACAAAAATGAGGACAATAGTCCGAATAATATAATTATCCTCTCCCCTAGTTTCTATTCTACATTATGTCACCCAGTGCTAAAAGTTAATAAAGTTGGTGTTAACCAATTCCATTTTTTTTATGTTGTTCTTGATTATTCTGTTACAACAGAATGATTGTTGAACACTTAGGTATTATCAATTCTCTTCTATTGCAGTGATTGCTGCATAATCTCTTCACAGATAAAGAGAAAATTGAAGGCAACGGAAATTTAGCTCTACGGAAGGATGATGAGAATAACATGGATGGAACGCTCAAGCAACGAAACAAAATAGGAACAAGGAACCAGAATCAAAAAAATTACAGCAAAAATTTAATGGGGACATAATGAGAAAAGAGGGCTACGTGAATTTGACACTCGCAAGATATACTGAATTTAAAATGGACAGAGCTAAGGAACAAGCCACCTCCTGACGAGTGTGTGTCAATGGAATGGCGGAACCGGGGGAGGGCGAGAGGCTTTGGCAAAGAGATAAACGTTGCTAAGACCTGCAAGGGATAGGATGATGTGGAGAGCCCTGATCGAACACGTCCTAAAGAGACACGCCAGATAGATGAATAAAGGTAATTGGAAAAATATTTGAACGATTGAACATACAAAACACGGGGTAAATAGATAAAGATTTTTTTTTTCTTTGAAAATTAAATAGAATCATTTAGAGATTAAAATTTATAAAATAAGCTAAAATTATAAACAAATTTGGAAATATATATATATATATATATATATATATATATATGAAGAAATATAGTCTTAAGGTGTGCTATATTTTTAGGATAAAGTGATCAATATCAGAAATAGAGTGTTTATTAAAAGTGAATATTTAAGTCAACACATATAGGCGTCAGGCTGTTTCATGCTAAACGCAATCGTCAGGCCACGTGGTGTTGTTTTTTACTCGGCTATTTATATATACGAGTCAGTAGTGCATTGTGGGTAGTCTATTTTTGCGGTTATTTTGCCGGAAGTCGGTTGTTTATTTATTTATTTATTTGAGTTAATTTTTTTGCTTGTTTTTATTTATTTTTTACATTTTATTTTTATTTTATTTTTATTTTTTATTTTTATTTCTTATATATATATTTATTTATTTTTTATTTTAATCGATGTTTTATTAGCGTAGTTAAAATTTGTTTATATCGCTTATAACAGAGATAGAGCGTGTGTGGTCTGACGATTGCGTCTAGCATGAAACAGACTGTCGCCTCTAAGTGTTGACTTCAACGTTCATTTTATACATACATACATACATATGATATATATATATATATATATATATATATATATATATATATATATATATATATATAAAGACTTACAATATTTTTAACGAAAGATTAAAAAACGCAGTCATGTGTATAGACGGACAGAAGAAAAGGAAATGGGCCGGCCGACTGCAAATAATCATAGAGAAAGAAAACGACAAGGTTGCCATATGACAGCTTTTTTATAGGGTATTGATCAACATCTCCCTCACTTTTTTTTTCATTCCTACATTTTCTTGCTAATGTGTGTGAGTGAGAAAGAAAATAGTAAGAGACAGAAAGAGAGAGGGAAACAGTGTGAAAGAAAGTATTAGGCTGTTCGTGTTTCCTCGGCGCCACCTATCGGCGCAATTTGTTCTAATCTTTGGCCCCGGATGACAGCATCGAATATAATTCAGGCAGTATTTGCTTTCGGACGTCACGGTTCAAGGCATATGTTGGCTGTGCTCTCTAATATATGGTCGACTCAGCACGAGCTCCCATCAATTACCAAGCCACTTGGGGCCAATTCATCTCCAAAATACTCGATTCTACATCTAATATTGCATAACGCGAGATATTTATGACTGCCAACGATTCTACTTCGATCTGGTAAAAAAAAAAATGGAGGAAAAGGAAAAGGATGGCGGGAAAAAGGCAGGGTGAAATGGAAGGTGGCAGATATGACCGCCACATAACAGTGAAAATTGCTTATGAAGTCGGAATGAAAGTAAAGTCGATTATAACAAAATCCGCTTAGGTGCAAAGGATGAGATTACAAGAGAGGAAGGATAAATCGTTAAAGAAAGAAAGAAATTTAGGAAGAAAGAAAGAAAAATAGAAAGAAACAACGACATTTAGAAAGAAAAAAGAAGGAAGAAAGACGGAAAAAAAGAAAGAAAACGGAAGAAAGAAAGAAAGAAACGAAAAAGGAAGCAAGAAAGAAAGAAAATTAGAAAGAAAAAAAGAAAGATAGAAAAAAGAAACAAAGAAAGAAAGCTAGAAAGAAATAAAAATGAGAAAGAAAGAAAAAACGAAAGTTAGAAACAAAGAACTAAAAAAAGAAAAAAGGAAGAAAGAAAGATAAAAGAATTTAAAAAATGAACGAAAGTAAGAAAGAAAGAAAGAAAGAAAGAAAGAAAGAAAGAAAGACGAAAGAAAGAAAGAAAAATGAAAGAACGAAAGCTAGAAAGACAGAAAAAAAAGAAAGAAATAACGAAAGTTAAAAAGAAAGACGGAAAGAACAAAAGAAAGAAAAAGGAAAAAGAAACAACGTGATTTCGAAAGAAAGAAAATAAGAAAGAGAGAAAATAAAGAAATATAGAAAGAAAGAAAAAAGAAAGAAAGAAAAAAGAACGACAGAAAAAACGAAAGTCAGTAAGAAAGAAAAAGAAAGAAAAAAGAAACAACGCAAGCTAGAAAGAAAGAAAAAAAGAACGAAACTGCAAAAATTAAAAAGAAAGACTGAAATAAAAAAGAAAGAAAAATTGAGAAAAGAAAGAACGTAATTTAGAAAGAAAGAAAAGAAAGAAAGAAACATAGAAAGAAAGAAAAATGAAAGAGAGAAAAAAGAACGAAAGAAAGACAAAGGGAGAAGGTCTTAAATAATAATAATGTAAGAGAACTCGTAATGTTTGAAAAGAAAATAGACAATAAACTACCAGAAAAAGAATGGAGAAAAGTGAGATGAACATGAAGAAAAAAAAAAAAAAGATAGGGCAGCAGTAGAATTCAAATATGACGGGCGGAAATTACCGGAAGTGTAATTAAAAGTAACTCATAATTATAGAAATACATCCTTGGACCGTACGATCTTTACTATTACGCTGATGCAAAATTAACCAGTATTTTTAGCCAACAACTTGCAAGTATATAAAATCATAACCTCATTATTCACTTTTAAATATGTTGATCTGCTCGCTTTCAGCTAAAGTTTCTATTCCCTTATAAAACAACGACATTGATTCGATTCATCCTTCGAGGAATTTAAAACATTTTTGAAGCTGTTGTAACGACTGCCAAGGCAAGGGGTTAAAATGATAGTTTGAAAGTAATTGGTTTGGATATTACGTTGAAGGCGGGAAGAACTTCCCATAGAAACTATGTGATTCTTTGACGTGTTTCATTTCCAACATAGGTATGAAATCTATGACGCAATACACTAGCCAATCGACCTTCTTAAAAATCTTCTGACCTTCGAATATGTCCTTCAAACAAGCCAATTTCTCATTCTACGAATCATACTGGGAAAACGTTCGGTTCCTTGTACTGTTCAAAAGAATACCTCATTCCGCTGTTACGCTCTATATTTAATAGAGACAGATCAGAACAAAAGTAGAGTACTACTCTCGTATCCCTAGATGGAACCGCCGAATCCTTATTTTCTAGTCTTGGGTGAGTTTAAAAGCCTCTACGCGGACTTCTAGGGGATAAATTATTTTCCACTCAATCCCTTTTCTACAGATGAGACGCCACAAACCTCTCGCTATCCTATCGCTATTTGTATGACAAAATTTCTGATAAGCTTCATTCCTTAGCTCCACCAGTTCAGACCGTCACAGCTACTACCCACCATGACACATACACTGGGACGAAACATGCACATTCCTTTTGTATACCATTAGTAAAGAAGAAGTTAAATTCGGGCAGCTTCTACACAAGAGCCGACGCTTTGTAGAACAGACTTCTAAGAGGAGGATTACCCGATCACTACAATTTTCCCTGTTCAAGTATAGCGTTAACCGTTATGTTGCCTACATATCCACGTAAAATGCATATTCTTCTCTTACAGGCATCAACATGAATCAGTAATCCTCTACTTTGAGTGGCTCACGAACCTTGTGCCGGGTGAACAATTGAAAAAAAAGAAGAAATTCTTAAAATAAGGATTTTATTCACCAAACAAATAAAAATATTTCTCGCCAGTATATTCCGCTGAGCACGATTTAATTCGTTCTGGGTATGACGATAAGCTACATCAGCAATAAGGCCTCTGATTGGGAGAGTGAAGGTTTTGATGAACATAGAACCAACTCATAATTGCTGTTGTTCCCAGGTCCACCCTGGCGTGGTAGCTTCGGCTATGGGCACATAGTTAAACCCAAACTGGGGTCAAAACATTATGGAAGTATAAAAATAGATTTTACATTAAACATATCTAGCAATACATATTTGAAAAAAATGTATTACCAGCAATACATTTGAATATCAATAATAATAAAAAAAAACCCTCTTAACAAAAATATGTCAATGAAACCTGAGAAAATATTTTTTATCGTAAGAATACCAGCAATATATTTTTGAAGGAAAAATTACTAGTAATAGATTTTTGGTAAAGAAATATTACCAGCAATAGATTTGACCCTCGACAAAACCCTTTTTTTTTTTTTGCAAAAATGCATCAATGAAACCTGATCTCCTACGAACTGATTTCTCACAAAGAATACATATACTACTCTATCCTAAAAATCTTGTCGGCATAAAATAACCCATTGAGGTTGATATGCCATAAAACAAAATAAACACAACAAAACTACGATCTAATGCGGCCCTTTGTCCAACCACAATTTTCTCCGTTTTAGTTTCTCGACTTCGATCGATTTTTCATTGGCATTACTGTCTTGCTTGAAGGTACCGATCAAGAAGAGAAGACCAGAGGCTCATGTGGAATTCATGTTTCTAGTTTCGGGTTTATTTTTTCTAACTTTTCCGTATTCTATGTTATAATAAATAAAAAAGAATACGGCAAGTGATATTTTTCAAACTACCATTCGTCCATGTCCATACATTGCTGCCATAGCTGGTCTAGTCTATATATCCTGAGTTTCTTGACAAAATCCAAAGGATTTGTAATGTTATCATCTCTGACCTGGCATCTCGTCTTCAGTCACTTTTCACCGCCGTGAATTGGCTTCCCGCTGTCCTTTCTATAAACACGCATATTTTCATGGCAGTTGTTCTAATGGGGTATCCTTCTCGGTATGTCAACTGCATGGATTTAAACCTGCTACGAGATTTGCTAATTAGGTCTCATCGTTTTACTATTGAAATAACTAGATGCCAGTTCTGTTCTAATAGTTTCTTTTGTCGCACTTCTCACCTGTGGAATTCTGCCGCGATTTCTTTTTTTTTTCTTTCTGTCGCCTAAAATCTTCAAAAAGTGTAACGTCAATCGGTATACTGCGTTTCTAAGTGCGGCTTAGATGTGACACAAGGCCGAAAGTATGGAGCACCGATTGAGGATGGAACTCACCACTCTGTCGCAACTAATCTCGCAAGACAAGCTTTCTAACCATTACACCACGTCGAGGTGGCTATGTCAATCAGTATATTCTATCCTCCTGAATCCTGTTCTCTTATTGTCCTTTCTCTTCACTAAAGTCTTCTCATTCTCTTCCACACCCAGTAGACCCTTGCTTTTTATGTGAATTATCACCTTGCTTAGGGTTAAGTTTTTTTTTTTTTTAATAATTAAAAGCAAACGCTCCTATTGCCATCTCATAGCAATAACTAAACAAAGATCTCTGGTGAGCACAGATTGTATTCTCATGAACAGTAAAAATTTAACCAATACCACTTTGTCATATGTGTACATTTCAAAGGTTATAGAAAGACATAATATAATCGGAAGGTCTTGCTGGACAATTAAACAGGTCTTTAAACAGTTATTTATCTATATATCTAAAGCGGAGGATGTTTTTGTGTCTGTCTGTCTGTCAGCGTGATACCTTTGGGAGATCCATCCAACTGATTTTGACCAAACTTGGCACATACATTGTACAATGTAAAAGATGCGTTATTAGCGTAAAAAGTCGATAATGTTTTTTAAAAAAATCAATACTCGATATAGCCTATCAAAAAGCAATAAATTCAACTATTTTCTTCCAATTTCGTTCACGTTCGGTATGTAGGTTACGTATATCATTACGAGCTCATTTTTTATTTCTACGCCGCTTCGTTTAGCGAAAAACCGCAAAAGAACGAAAAATCGATTTCAACGTAAGTCGATTTCAACACAAATCTTAAAGTAAAAATTATCCCAGTTTTCAATCAATTTAATACAAACATCATTCAGTTGTAGCCAACAATAAGTTGATTATTTAACAGTCATTTAAGTTGATAATTGAGTCCAACCATTTAGTGAAAATCCGCGTAAATAGCGAAAATGGCGATTTTTACTGGTACGCTTTCAGTATCCCCTTGTAGATTAACGAAAAATACATTAAGTTAAACAGGAGAGGTTGGTGGACTTGACGACATGCTACAATTTCTTTGGTTGTTTCATAAGGAATTTTGCATGACACACACACAGTGTTGAACTCAAAATTCAGTATTAATTCCCAATTCTCGCTAACCATTAACCTATACCGTGGCAACAGAAATCAAGAGAGATAGAAAGAAAAATGAAGGCGAGAAAGAAAAAGAAGAAACGATCTTGAAGAGAAAAAAGAAAGAAAGAAAGAAAGACAGAAAGAAGTCAACAATTGGCAAAAAAAAAAGTTAAAATATGTAAAGAAAGAAAGAAAAAGGGAAAGAGAGAAAGAGGTCAACAATTGGTGAAAGGGGAAAAATGGTAAAAATTGGAAAGAAAGAAAAAGAAAAATGTAAAGAAAAAAGACAGAAAAGGGGAGAAATAGAAAGAGGTAAACAATTGGTAAAACAGAAAAATAGAAAGAAAAAGTGTAAGAGAGAAAAAAGTAAACAACTGAAGAAATAAAGAAATAAGGAAAAAAGAAAGAAAGAAAAAGGGTAAGACAGAAAAAGGTAAACAATTGAAGAAATAAAGAAATGAAGAAAAAGAAATAAGGAAAAAAGAAAGAAAAAGGGTAAGACAGAAAAAAGTAAACAATTGAAGAAATAAAGAAATAAGGAAAAAAGAAAGAAAGAAAAAAGAAAGAAAGAAAAAGGGTAAGACAGAAAAAACTAAACAATTGGAGAAATAAAGAAAAAAGAAATAAGGAAAAAAGAAAGAAAGAAAGAAAAAAGAAAGAAAAAGGGTAAGACAGAAAAAACTAAACAATTGAAGAAATAAAGAAAAAAGAAATAAGGAAAAAAGAAAGAAAGAAAAAAGAAAGACAAAAAGAAAGAAAAAAAAGAAAGAAAAAAAGAAAGAAAGTAATGATAGACACCGAAAAACAAACGAAATAACTGAAATATAGGCCAAAAGAATTAAAACTTATGTAGTTTAATTTGAACATTTTTAACAGACAAAACAATAGAATATCGATTTATTTCACGATCGTTCAAAACAAAATTTGATAAATGCGTAATGGCGTCTACTACGCTTCGTCTGACAGCTCAAAATATTGATAGATCTGAAAATTCGCATCATAAAACACAGGACCAGATTAATAAGAACAAGAAGACTGTGTTACGGCAATGATAAGATTTTTATCTGGACTTTGATAATCAGCATGTTTATCATTTGCCTAGAACCCAATGCAATAGAAAAATACGTAATCTACGAAATAGGCTGAGATCCAGTCAGTCACTTACGTGCCATGCGTGATACACGCTTAGGCGATCATATATCTTTCGATACATGACTGACGAGGCAGATTTTTTTTCCCGCAGTAGATTGCCATTTCTTACTGCGGTAGACCAGTTGCCGTCGAAGGCTATGGAACCCGGTCCATCCTGCTATTTACCCATAGCTGTGGGGAGAAGAAGAGGATTCATACCTTTCTCAAGGGTATTAGCTCCTAAGTGAATGTAACGGTTTTGACTGGAATTCGAACTGGGCTGAGATTAACTCTTTTTCTAACTCTCTGCATTAGCAGGGAGGAATCCGGACGAAGCCTTGCCGAAGTGCAAGGTTTCGTTCGGGGAGGTTGACAGCTCTCAAACCCGCCTAGACGGGTTCGAAGGCTATATTTTTGGCCGGGCCTACGGGCCCGGATGACCCACATTAAACTCGGCCTTGTGCCATATACTACCCCACGTGGTGGGGGACAGCTAAATATAGCTGAGATTAACTCTTTTTAATATTGATGTCTGTAAATCAAGATGAGAACAATCAGGATCATTCATCGATTAAAATGCATCGTTGGAAAGCAGTTGTTACTCACAAAAAATATGGGGAGGACAAAATGAATACAAAGAGTGATATTTCATGAAGAGGGACGTTAATTCGTTTTTAACAGGTAAAATAACCAAATTCTAATTAAACCTGGGTTAATTTTTTGTTGGGCGAAGATGTGTGGGGTGAATTTCCCAAGTGGATAGAACTGTTTTTTATAACATTTGAAAAGTATTTTTTTTTACCTGAAATTCAGTTCTGATTACTGACCTTGTTACGAAAGATGCAACTGCTCCAAACACCGAATAGCTAAAGAGGTAATGCTATGATAGGAAGAAAGTATAACAGATTATTAGAAAGACATCGATCAAGTCTCAGAACAAAAACGGTCTTCTTTTCCGTGCCAAATTTTTCAGGAACATGCCATAATGAAATCTTGGCCTTTTTTCCTCTTATGGTGCCATCCATTTATTTAAAGAGGCTAATCGCTAAATCCCCCACCAACTGTTCTGTGAGAATTATATTCTACAAGAATTCTTTTCTAATTATCTCAGTAATTTGAACTTTCTCTTTCTTATTGTATGTATAAATTTCCTTAGAGTCCGTATTTTTCTTAAAACTTCCTCATTGTTCGCATGCTTTGTCTATGGTATTCTTTGCGTTCGACAGCAGAAGCATATCTCTATTACTTTAAGTCACTTTTTCATCTTTGAGGAAATTGTCCAGCATTATAGGTGATCAGATGTTACACGAAAATTAATCACTGTTTTTTTTTGTTTTTTTTTGTTTTTTTGCAAATACATTTTCCCATCTCCTAATAATTTGCTTAGTTTCTGAAAGGCTTCTTTCGCTAATTCCATGCGTCTTCGAATTTCTGTGAAACATTTTCCACCATCTCTTACAGCAACAGAGCTTTACATTTCTGTATTCCCCTTATTCTGACGTCTCTAGTTTGTAGTTGACATATTAGGTTGTCCCTTTTGCTAACGACGATGCAGTTTGTCTTCTTACGGTTGATAGCTAGTCCCTTCTTCTTGCTTTCCATTACTACATTATATGAGAGTTCTTTCATCCTAACATCAACACATTTTCATCCCCACTTGATTTAGTTAAAATTATGTCCACCGATTTTCATGGCAACTGCGCTGACGAGCTATTTTCATTGGTGCCCCAACCGCATGAATTTAAACGGGCTACTAGATTGGCATTTCGGTCCCACCTTTTCACTGTAGAAAGAGTTAAATGCAACCGTCTCTTCTTCTACAACAGTTTCTTCTCTCGCACTTCCCAACAGTGGAACTCCCTTCCCCTTACTTGCTTCCCTGATAACGATAATCTTCAAAAAATTAAATGTAATGTCAATCGACATCTTCTGGTGCCTTGATCTTGACCCCCGTCCTTCTCTAAATCCATTCCTCTAACATTCATCTTTACTCTTGCTCTCGCTCCCTGTAACCCCTTGCGTGCCAGTGGCACTCCCGCCTTGCTTGGGGGTGAAATGTTTAAAAAATAAATAAACAAATAATACATCCTGGCTGATATTCTTGTTGTCTCAGTGTCGTTTCTAGGTTAAATAAATCCGCCGAGAAAAGGCATGCTTGTCTTCCTCCTCTTTCTATTTCTGTGTATTCAATGAATTCGTTCTCTATCCAAATGCAAGGGATTTGTAGCCAGCCATAGTCACGGATTACTCGAATATCTTTTTTCCGTGTAAACCAAGCTTTTTTAGCCTTTCAAACTGGGTATGACGATAAACTACACCCGGCAGCAAAGCCTCTGATAGGAAGATTAGAGGTTTTGAGGAATGTACCACCACCAATTGTTGTTGTTCCCAGGTCTACTCTGTCCCGCGTGGTGGTAGCCTTCAGCTACTGTCATTGCTATATGTATATGATTTATTGCTGTGTACAAATCTATATAAATAATGTGCAGTGCACGTGTGTCCGTCTGTTTTTCGATTTCGACGAATCATAAGCAACCTGAAGTAATAGGTAGTAACCACTGTAGTTACAGGTGATAAAAAATTAAATCAATGACTTATTTAAAGTTAAATATCGAACAGAGTGAAAGTTTTACATTAACAATTCTTTGAAAAGAATGAAGTTAAAATAAAAATGTGTTCTTTGAAAAATAGGGTATACATTCATTAGAGATTTTTAAATGATTATTTATAAAATTAAAGCAAGAAATACATTGCCTATAAAGTATGTTTCCAGATTCGATCCGGCTCAGACTTACTCAACACGACTAACCACGTTTATTTAATACTTTTTTTGACTTACTTTCTTTGTTTTCTTATTTTGTTCGTCTTTCTTTTTTATTTATTATGAACAATATCAATGAAATGTATTTCGGTAAAAAATTCTGAGGCATGGAATTAAAACAATTCATTCTAGGTCCAGCTGAAATCAGGAATTAAAACGACACTCTACAAAAAACTTTTGCTTTGAAATATGTATACTTGAATGTTGACTCAGGATAAGCCCGACAAGCCCGATCACCGGAGTCGTCATTATGGTATGCATATGTTTTATTGCTGTGTACAAATCTATATTAATAAAGCGCAGTGTACGTGTGTCCGTCCGTCTGTCCGTTTTTCGATCTCGGCGAATAACAGGTAGTAACTAGTTGTAGTAATTACTCGCGATTAAAAATTACATAAATAACTCATTTAAAGTTAAATTTAGATATTGAACAGAGCGAAACTTAAATAAAAAATTCTTTTTTAAAGGTATAACGTTATTCTTAGTGGATACTCGTATTTGAATAAACGCTCCGTTGTTTAACCAGTGTTTCTTTCGTCAACCGGCCCGCGTATTTAAGAAAGATAGAAGTTTTCTCGAACTGTGAAACATTACATAACCGAGTGGTCAAAACCCAGCAAATCAGACGTTATTTTCTCTTGCAAACCACCGTCTGATTAATAAAAATTAAATAAAAATATATAAATCTTTAAATTATATAAATTATAAAAAATAAATAAAACTGATTAATAAAAAAAATAAAATATATAAATCTTTTAAATTATATAAATTATATAAAAAATAAATAAAACTGATTAATAAAATTAAAATATAAATTATATAAAAATAAAAATAAATAAAACTGATTAATAAAAATTAAATATAAATTATATAAAAATAAATAAAACTGATTAATAAAAATTAAATAAAAATATAAATCTTTTAAATTATATAAATTATATAAAAAAATAAATGATTAATAAAAATTAAATAAAAATATATAATTCTTTAAATTATATAAATTATAAATATATAAAATAAATAAAACTGATTAATAAAAATTAAATAAAATATTAAATCTTTAAATTATAAAATTAAATAAAATATGATTAATAAAAAATTAAATAAAATATGTAAATTTAAATTATATAAATTATAAAAAAATAAAAAAATGATTAATATAAAAATTAAATAAAACTAAATAAAATTAATATAAAAATTACATAAAATAAATAAAATGATTAATAAAAATTAAATAAAATTTAATCTTTATATAAATTATATAAAATAAATAAAACTAAATCTTTAAATTATATAAATTATATAAAAATAAATAAAAATTAATAAAAATAAAAAATATATAAATCTTTAAATTATATAAATTATATAAAAATAAATAAAACTGATTAATAAAAAAATTAAATAAAATATTAAATCTTTAAATTATATAAAAATAAAAATAAATAAAACTGGAACGCGGTCGAGTGGTTAGAACGTTTGCATTGTGATCCCGAGATCTTAGTCGCTTTTGAGACTTCTTGATGTTATTGGACTGAAGGGGTCGATCACAGCCAGCCTACGGCCCGCTTGGAATGAGCCTGAAAAACCATACCACGGGGTTGACCCAAGCCTTGTGAGTGAGATTGAGTAGACGGAACCCTTGGTGGGGGGGGGGCGATAGCACGCATTCACAAGTCATCGTGACCGAGAAATAAAGCGTTCTGGTCTTGTTCAAATTGTTGACCACGCTAGATAACGCGCTCTTTCCTAGAAAGATATATATATAACTAACTCTATATATATATATATATATATATATATATATATATATATATATATATATATATATATATGTGTGTGTGTGTGTGTGTGTGTGTGTATTCAAA